TAAAAACCAGGTACGGTAGAAGGGGAATCGCAGGTGGGAGACTGAGTCTAGCCAAGGTCCCAGGTGCATTAAATTTTGTCTCCCTGCAGGTAGTTGGCGCTCTCCAGAGCTCATGGGGATAGAAAAGTCGACACTTCATATGGGTCTCTGTGGATGTGGCCCAGTTGCTGTTGCTTTTGCAGCTATAGCTTTGAGTTACCTGACTTTTTGTTTTAAAAACAAGGGTGCATTAATGCAGGTGTCGGCTTATTTGGAAACCAGGGAAGGGAAAGTGCAGGAATGAAAAGGGATTTTGAAACAGAGTCAACAGCCCTAGTTTGACTAAGTACCCTTCCCAAGCTAGTGCTGCCCCACCGCTTGGGGGCAGGGATCCCCGCGCCCCAGACCTCGCTCGGGCTCCCCCCAGGGTGGAGGCCGGGCCCGGCCGGGACACTGGGGTGCTGTGGGCCGGGTTCCAGCAGGTGATCTTTCAACGCATACTTAGTCAACAACCTTTTCATGGAAGAGGGTAAACTGATGTTTTATCAAGAAAAATGCTACACCTCTCTAACTTCAAAATGAGAACTTTATTACGTGAATTTATTACAGGAGATTTTCCAAGTCAGACAGCTGCTTGGAGGCATATTAAATGATTTAAAATTTAGAGAGTAAAACCAATCACTCATTCCTGGGGAGCAGCATTATGCATGCGTGACCGGGCGGCGGGGCTGTCTCTGCCTGCGCCCACACGCTCACCGGGTCTCCTCAGCTGGGTCTCTGTGTTGGGAGAAGGGGTGAGCTCACTGGGGACCAGTGTCCTGCACTGTGTGTGCTCAATAGAGATGGGGCCACAGTGGCTGGAGAGGGGAAAGCTAAGCTAACTGGCTGGCATTTCCGCTTCTCCCAAGGATATTTTGTCCCTTTCTGTGGAATGTCTACCAGAAAGTTGCTTGTCTCCTTACCCGGTCTCAGGTCACAGGCTCAAACTACAAAGGTTGACCCCCACAGAGCAGGGTTCCTCTTCTCAGCACTATGGGACTTGGATGATTTTCTTGTTCGAGAGGCTGTGTTGTGCGTTGTAGGATATTAGCAGCGTCCCTGGCCTCTCCTCATTGTGCCGGTGACACCCTCCCACACACGGCTGTGGCAAACAGAAATGTCTCCAGGTGTTACCAGATAGCCTAGAGGAGCAAAAGTGTCCGTCTTGAGAATCCTACCTTAGGAAAACAATGGAAGGACTGGTAGCCTCTCTGTGGGTGTTGAAGCCTCAGAAGACCCTTGTCTACAGAGCTGGGTTTTAAGCAAGTAGCTCCCAGTGAAAATGTGAGACAATTTCTAGCCAGACTAATGCTAAAGCTTTTAAGCATTTTAATTTCAGAAAGATGTTGTTGGTGATTTTTATTGAGATGAGGCATTAGGTGACTAGAAATAGCTTCTTCTTTTTCTTTTTTTTTTTAAATCAGCAGATCAAGGAAGGCTCCAGAAGTGTGCGCTGATAATTTCAGGAAATGCATTTTGTAGCAGGGTTTCTCCCTCCCACGAATATGGTTCCCATGAGACTGGACTCCTGAGGGGCCTCGCGGCACCTGGTCTGCCATTTCCTCACAGGGTGGATGATACTGAGAGTCTGGCAGGGCCACGGGGGGGAGGGGGGTGGGGGACAGTGGATGGAAATAAAACGGGCCGGAGTGCTCCCGGCTTCCTCTGGGCAGGTGACGCTCGCGGTAAAAATGAATGAAAGTAAAGCCATCGGCACTCATACACGCAGACCCAGGGAGAGCTCCTGGGACTGAAAAATCTACCTCTGAAAGGGAGGGCAGGAAAGACCGAAGAAAGAGGCTGCCGCGCCCGGTGGTAATGAATAGAACGCATTACGGGAAACCCACATACGAGACATGTCTTGGGCGGCCACATGACAAGATGGATGGATCATTGTGCTGCTTGGCAGGCACCAAAGAATTATTTAGGGTAAAGAGGGGTCGGTCACAGATACCAGGACATGAATGCTAGCAGGTGTGGAAATGACTGAACACGCTTGACCAGGTCAGGACAAAAGCCTGTTCCAGGGGCCAGCACATCGCGGGAGCCAGGGAGGGGCGCTGACTTACATCAGAAAGAGCATCAGTTGCGGTCAGACAGTCTGTAGTGGGGAGGGCAGTGAGCTCTCTCCCATTCTGGCCCGGGCCCAGCTCTCAGGTCCAGCCACAGTCACGTCATGGAACATTCTCTCCTCCACAGTCGGGGTGGAATAATGGTCCCGGGGCACCGTGGGCTTTCAAGCTGTACACTTGCAGCAGCTGATGTAACTTTTCTTCAAGTGATACACAGAAACCCAATGTAAAAGCACAGGCCAGACCCAAGTTTGAAGACGGGTGGGGGGAGGGGCTGCAGCTGCCCGCCGCTGCTTAGCACACCCCGGAGCCCACGCTCCCTGAGAGCGCGCCCCGGCGTTCATGGCGGCCTGAAAGTAGGCTAATGCTTAGCAGGGTGACCATCTCTTTTTTCCCCCTGCCTGGATCTGTCACCATCTTTCTTCTATTTTAGGTAAAAGTGATTTTCAAAACCATAAACCTTGATGAAGATGATAATGCTTTTCCATTGCTGTGTAGTTTTTACTCTCAACCTGTGGAAGCAGATTCAGGGCTGAGAAAACACGTACATGCCTATAACATATACAGATGTTATATATATTTATTATAAGTATTTTGATACTTTATTCTGAAAAACTTAAATATACAGAGAAGTGGAGAAAACAGAACTGTCACCTCCTAAATTTAACAACTGCCTTTATTTTTTTTTTTCCGTATTGGCTTCATACATTTCTCTAAACTTCTAATGAAGAAGAATTTCAAAAAGCAAACATATCCACAGTAACAAGGTCTGAGAACATTGTTACCACATTCTCACATCCCCTTTCCTAGCTCATCTTGCAGACTTAACAACGCAATTCGAATTTAGTTAATGAAACCTACAGGAGGGATACCAGCTTGATTCAACCTGCAAGAGTTCCTATGTCTATTTAGTTTACTCTTCATTCAGCGGTCATTTTGGGTGCCTCGATGTACCAGGACCTGAGCAGGCACAAAACGATGAACAAAATGAAACAGCAAACATAGGTCCTGCCCTGGCTTTCGTTAGAAATGCAAGTTCTTCAGCTGCTTGTCTGGAATCAGAGGGAAACAAGTTCTGTGTATGCCCACCGGGGGACGGGGGCGGGGGCAGGCTGGGGGGTAGCGGGTGAGGAAAAGATCAATGGATGAGGGTGAATTTGGAGGTTTTAGGAAGTTGGTCCGATTCTTGAGTTGGCAGAGCGCTTTGTTGCACGGAGCAGCTGCAGGCTGGGTGTCCATGGAGCCTGGGAGCTGGGACCAGCTGCTGTGTACGCAGTTCAGCGCCCCAGCTCCGGCATTTCATGGGGCTGCTCCCAGGAACTGCCACCGTGTGAGCAAAGCTGCTAGACAGGCTGCTGATTCACCCTCTGCTCGGCAGGGTGGGAGCTGGGCTGTGGAGCTGGTGATCAGAGTTCTTTGTTTTCTAATAGTTATTATGCTGCTATTTTTATTAGTCAGCATGGTCAAAGGACATAAGAAGTAAGAATCTTACATATGAGAGGTAGCCCATTGGGAGCCCCATGTGTTTAGCAGACCCCTTGCTCAGCTCCTGCCAGACTTGTTCCCAGATGGGTGTAAACTCTCCTCTCTTAGTCATCTGAGGAAAGGCTGCATTCTTGGCACTTTTCATAGAAGTGGGACTTCTTTCAATAGTCCACAACAAATGGAACCATTTGGAATGTTCTTGGTCCTGCCTCCATTCCTCCATTAGCTGTCTTGTGAGGAAGAGAACTAGAAAAGAAGCAACTAAACCTTACAGCTTGGGCCCTGGCTGGCGTGGCTCATTTGTTTGGAGCATCATTCCATTAACTGAAAGGCTGTGGGTTTGATCCCCTTTCAGGGCACACACCTGGGTTGCAGGTTCAGTCCCCAGTTGGGGTGTGTACAGGAGGCAACCAATCCATGTTTCTCACATCGGTGCTTATCTCTCTCTGCTCCTCCCTTCCTCTTTCTTTAAAAGCAATGAAGAAATATCCTCAGGTGAGGATTAAAAAAAATTTTTTTTTTAAATTAGAGAGCAAGCTGACTGCTCTGGAGGGGTGCTGGAGGGTGGAAGGATCAAGCAAAAAAAAAGAAAAAAGAACTCATGGACATGGACAGCCGGGGGTGGTCGTTGTTGGGAGTGTGGAGGTGAAAGGGGGTATGGGGGGATAAATGATGATGGAAAAAATACATTAAAATGTAAAAATATGTAAAAAATAAAATTTAAATAAATAAAAATAAACCTTAGAGGTTGGTTACTCAGTCAGTAATCTGTTTTTAAAGATTCTATAACAAGTGGGTTTTCAGGACAGAAGCTTCAATGTAGGCTTAGAAATACAAGCCCAGTGATTTCTCACTGGCTAAATTTAATATTTCGTAATGTTTTTCAGGGGTCTTCCTAAGTAGGCACCAGCCTGATTCACATAATGGAATGAATGGGGTATAATGAGTCTGAAAGAGCTACCAGGCCTGTTATATGTGGAAGGAAACGCAAAGTTTGTTTTCAAATGAGGATTGTAGGGGAGCAGGCAAATATTCCTCTTGAATTTTGTGATTGCTTTCAAAGTGAACATCAGTCATGAATTAGCTCCATTGCCCCTAGAATATGTTAATGCTGACAAAAAGTGGCAATACCCAATTTTGTACAGTGTGTTGTAAACACCTGCTAACCGTAAGAGTAGAGGGATGGGTTGTGCAGAAGACTTCAGGTTGATTTTCTCAACATTAAACATGCCCTGTGGCGGTGGGAGTGGCATTTCAGTGACATCTGTCTTCCCTTGCTTTACAAATAGGTGGAAAATATAGTAGGTTGGGCAAATGTTTGCAGTGTGATCATTTTTCAAAAATTGATTGCAAGGCTGATGCATGCGCTGCGTGGGGGGAAGTGTTTACAATGGCCAACACATGCCTTTTCCCCCTCTTTGGCAGGAAATTACCACGTGTTTACCAGACTACTATAAATGGACCCAGTACCTCTTTATTAAACTCTATGACGCCGGACTGGCCTATCAGAAGGAGGTAAGTTCAAGTTAGCCGCACTTAAAAAATTTTGTAAATTTCCTCCCTCTTCTCAGAACACATCATTGTTCAATAAGAAACAAATAAGCCCTGTTTGCACAGTAGCTGTGAAAATGAACACTACCGCAAGTTCGCGACCTCAGTCACAGCAGACCCAGACAGCAGCTACTGCCTGGCTCAGTGTGGTGCCCCAGGACAGGGCTTGGCCCCTTCACTCTGCAGTTTCCAGCCTGTCTCAGTGTTTGGCGCCTGTCCTGAGATGTAGCAGGAGGAGAGGGAGGGATGCAGGCTTCTCAGACCCTTGCTCAGCCGCCTCTCCCCGCTGTGTGCTGGCTGTGTCACAGCCTCCAGGAACTGTTGTTCTTTATCTGCCGTGTGGGGTGGTAACATCACCCTTGCAGGGTCTTGGGAAGACAGAGGTGAATGTGGGAAGTATGACTGTCCCAGTGCCTACACATAGCGGTCTCCCAAGAACTGGAGGCGCTTGTGTGGCAGGAGCTTGCTAATAGCAGGCACACCTTAGACGGTGCGGAGCCACTAATGTGAGTGGTGGTGAGTTTTTAAAAAAGATTGTGTTTACTTATTTATTATTTATTTAAAGAGAGGGGGAAGGAGAGGGAGAAAGAGAAAGGGAGAAACATCCATGTTCAAGAGAAACATCGATTGGTTGTCTCTCACATGCTCCCAGCCCAGGCAATGCACCCTGATTGGGAATTGAACCTGCGATCTTTTGGTTTACAGGGTGACACTTAACCCACTGAGCCACATCAGTCGGGGCCATATGTAAGTTTAAAGTAACTAAGGTTAATTAATATTGAAGATTGAGGTCCTCAGTCATTTGCTGGTAGCTAATATTGGACATCACAGATCTAGAACATTGCCATCATCACAGCACATTCTAGACAACACTAGTCTAGAAAATTCACAAGTAACAAGTAGAAAGGACATTCTCCTTCAACCAGAGGGCTGTAACAACATAGGATTACATTTACTGTTCTCCTGGTCACATCACACTGCTTGGTCTTACAATGAATAGTACTTACAAAATCATTATGTTTTAAGTTTGCAGTGTTTTAGAATCAACATAGAGACAAATGCAGAAGGCTCAACTTGAATTTCAGAATTTAAAAAGAAAGTCTTAAACCTTGACAAGTGGATTGAGTGCTGGACTGCAAACTGAAAGGTCTCTGGTTCTATTCCCAGTCAAGGGACATGCCTGGGTTGTGGGCCAGTTCCCCAGGTGGGGACATGCAAGAGGTAACTGATCGATGTACCTCTCTCACAGCGACGTTTCTCTCCCTTCCTTCCCCTCTCTCTAAAAATAAATAAATAAATAAAGTAAAAAAATAATAATACAGCTAGGTTTGCAGTATGGCCTCATCTCCGGGAAGCATATGGAAGAACTCGCTGGGCACAAACGCCTCTCCCACTCTGCCCCTCGCGGCTGAGGAAGCTGGTGGCAGTAGCCTTGGGAACTCTCTACCTTCCCCGGACTCCATCCAAATTTAAGCTTATTCTGGATGGAACAGAGCAATATTGATTTTGAGGATTACGTCCTTAAATAAGATCTATGTGGTGTTCCTTAAGGAAGCATGCTTTTGTCAAGAAAAAAGCTAATAGACTTGGAGAAAATCAATCCCCTAAATCATAGACTTCACCAGCCTTCTGTAACCTGAAGCTGCATGACAGTTACTCAGAAAAAGTCTTCGGTGGTAGCAGAGCAGAGCTTGATGAGGAAGAAGTAAGGGAGCAATGGAGGGGAGCCAAAGGCTTGAGGAGCGATGCATTGGCCAGGAGACAGAAGCATGCAATGGAGGATGTGATCTAGAAGGGACTAGCATCCTGTGTCAGGGCTGAGGCCAGGGAGGCAAGGGAGAAGAGAACCCAGAAGAGGAAGATGAGGGGAGGAAGGTGAGGGCTGGCCCGGAGGCCCGCTGGGGCCGTGGGCTCCCGGCTGCCTGTCGCAGGGAGGGGCGCTGCTGAACCCGGAGTCAGGCTGCTGCGGCCGTGAGCATCCCCCGGGGAGCCCGCAGTCGCCTGTACCTCTACGAGCCCAATGGTGTTAGGGCCTGCATGTCTCCAGTGCTTCCTAAAAGCTCCCCCTACGTCACTCAGACAAAAAAAAGTTGCTCTGATGTTTAATCCCTGATCAGCGGGGGACATTTATGTGGCATGGCCCCCTCTCGTTGGGAAGGCAGTGGACGGAGTGGGCTGCGGCTCAGTGTGTTTGCAGGGGCCTTAATGGCCTCAGTGCTGATTTAACAATGTTACCAGTAAGGCTGTGTCTTACCAGTAAGGCTAGTTAACCGCAGAGGAGTTAACTGGAGCTGGCTTCAGGCGATGACAGAGAACGTCAGGGGCAGCTGGGGACACGCCTGCCAGTCACTGAGGTTTTCCAGAAACCACGATCTATGTAGCAAGACTGTGCTTGCTTGAAAATCAGGGTGTCCATCAAAGTACATGCTCACACGCGACAACCCAGGACTGTTGCAAAGGGAAGACCTGGTTCTGAGGGAAGCTGCGTGGTAGAGACCATTGTACGAGAGAGGAGACTGGGAAGGGGGTCCGGGGAGCAACCGCGGGGCTTCGGGTGGCTGCCTGTGCAGCGCGGCCCGGAGCCCTGGGCCCCGCGCCTTGGCCGCCCGGGCCTGACCCCCAGCAGGAGCACTGAGCCTGCCCCGCGTGTCTGTGCTTGAGATGGATCCTGGTCGTGGGAAGAAAACCAGAGTGGTTCTCACAGCCGAGGCAGCTTTGATCTGAAACGTGAGTTCCTTCGGTGTTTTACCTCTTCCCCCAAGACTTGCACTGGGGGAAAAATTGCTATTGTGTTTTGCTCTTACTTGTCTTCCATTCCACGCCCGAGTTTTACGATAGCATGTAAACCTCTTAGGAGCACATCTTCTTCATTGCCGGGTGTAACCTAGAGCCGGAGAGATGCCAGGCTGTGTGGGAAATGTTGATAAGAAAATAAAGTCTTACTTGTTTTCGCACTTTGCAGTGTTGAGTGTTTGCTTCTCCCGTATCCTCTGAGGTCTGCAGGGGGCAGGAGGCACAGGTGGAGGCCTATAGGGCTTATTCCCACCTCTTCGTGGTTTATACGATTTTAGTTGCATGTGTGGTTTTATTTAGGGGGTGGAGGGTTGACGGAGGGTTGCCTCTTAAAGAACTTTCCACAACACTAAACAAAACTTGGCTGTTTCTTTTTGCCTTATCTATTTTAAGTGGTATCCCTCCCAACCCCTAACACGAGCAATAATAATAGATGAGTAATCATCCTTGGTTCATTAGCCTAAAGTTTTTACATCTAAGGCACTTTTGTTTACATTTGATCTCTACTTATTTATGGCTTCAAGGCTGTGGGGGGCCTTAGAATGAGGGAGAAAATCACTCACTGTGTGTCTTTCCTGCTCCGACTCCAGGCCTCACAAGCCTAAACTCTTCAGTGCATAGTTCACTTTTCAGCTGTAAAATCACAGTGCACAGAGGGGTTAGCCTGTCCTCCACCCCTGCTGTTTATGAAATTTCGAGATAGGTCTCTGGGTCAGTCGGGGTCCCGGCAGGAAATAGAGGGCACAGCGGACAGGAACCATGTAATACAGGGCCTGTTTCTATGCAGTTTCTGGAAACCCGCAGGGATGGCCAAGCACCTGTTGCTGGCGACAGAAGGAAGAGTCTGCCACCCTGGGAGAAGGGGCGATGTGGGGGGCGGTTCCTGGAACCGGGAGGGTGGTAGCCGTGACAGAGGGGGCCCGCCTGGCAGGAGCTGTGCCTTCGGTGCCAGCTTTGCCCAGCTGGGAGGAAGCCAAGGTGCTGCTCGTCGGCTGAGCCCAGCCCGAGCCCACGGCAGGGGGGTCAGCCTCGGGGTGCGGACGAGGGTGGAGAGAGGATTTGGAGGGGCAAAGAGACGACCTTCAGCACAATCTCTTATTAGAATTGCTCATTAAAATTAAGAAAAAAAATGTGTACCAAGCCGGCATATTTTAGCGTCCAGACACACATCTCTGTGCTTATTTCCTTCTTTGTACTACGTGGTACCTAAAGGTAGTAAAGGAATGGATGTTGAAGGAAGAGGTTGTTATTTTAAGGGAAGATAGAAGTGAAGTAGAACTCTCCGAAGAGAAACTTCACAGTGGTTACGATGACAAGTTCTCTCAGCCAAATGAAACTATTCAGATAGGTCTCAAAAATATTGTTACCTTTTGGGGGGGCAGGTGTTGACTGGGAGAAGATACAGCAGAATTTTCTGGGATGGTAGGAATGTTCTGTATCTTGGTATGAGTGGTAGTAAAAGTTCATCATGTTGTACACTTGAGATTTATTCACATTACCCTGTGTGTGTTACACATTAATTTAAATAGAAGTTTTTAAAAATTGCAAACAACTTTTACAGCTCCTAGAGACCTGAATTCTGACCCCATCTTTGTCCCTTACTGACTCTGTGACCTTAGGCAGGTTACTTAATCTCTCTGTCCCTTGGTTTCCTCCTTTTCCCTAGGGGGACAACAATATTCTCACCTTAAAAGGTTGTTGTGAGAATCAGAGATGCCAGCGTTAGGAAGGTGCCTATCCCAGCATCTAGCACGTGATGATGATCACTCAGTAATTTTTAGCTCTTTATATTATAATAAACATATTTGTTTCCCCTAAAATAACCGATTTCTGCCAAGTTCTAGGTACCATTCTTTCTTCTTTTCCTCTGTTTACTAAAGTTTCCAGTCTTGCAAGTTCATCCTTCTGTGCAAGAACACACCCAACTTGAGTTAGACACGGGCATGCGGGCTTCCCTCCCAAGCGTACAGACCCTAATGAGACGAAGGCACAGCAGCAGCTCCCTCGTGCTTCTCCGCAGCCGCTAGGGGCTTCCCTGGCAAGCAGCACTCCGAGGAGAGGCCCTCCAGTCTCTGAGCAGCGACGGCTGCATTTGCAGGCCTCTACCGTGTAAGAGCCTTGAAGTGATCCTTCAGTGTACTCACCAGACTGCATCGTTTTGTTTCATGAATTATAACAGGCCTTGGTTAACTGGGACCCGGTGGACCAAACAGTGCTCGCCAACGAGCAGGTGGATGAACATGGCTGTTCGTGGCGCTCTGGAGCAAAGGTCGAGCAGAAGTACCTCAGGCAGTGGTTTATTAAGACAACAGCTTATGCAAAGGTAAGTGCGGGCCCGGAGGCTCCCCAGGAATGCCCTGCATGTCGGCCGGCGACGCCAAGGCGCAGTGGGTACTGGAGAGCCTCAGGCTGGCGGGGTCGGACGGGGAGGGCTCCGGGGAGGGCTCTTGGAGCCCTGGGTGTACAGACAGGAAGCACAGGAACTTCAGGGTCACCCACCTCCGGGTGGTGGGTCATTGTTCACATTCAGTCATTGCACTGACCTAGAGGTCAAAGACCAGACAGCTTTCCCCACAGTTATGTCAGCAATAAAGCTAGAAGGGGGATTAGCATCTCCGCTGGTGCGGCTCTGGCGAGACCCTCAGAAAGACAGCGGCATTTCAAAGGCCCAGAGAAGGTCACCTAAAAGGAGCAAAGAAGGAGGCAGCCGGTCTCCATGAGGGAATGCCCGAGAGAAAGAGAACTAAGCCAGGAACCAGAGCTCGGGGTGTGAACTCTCGTTGGGTCCCTGATTAGCCGTGCCAACTGGCGTGAGTCCCTGGGCCTCAGTTTCCTCATCACTAACAGGAGAGGGTAGGACCAAGGAGGTCGTTAAAGTGCTATCTGGCTCTCTGTGTGTTCAGAGATGCAAGGCAAACCCAACCAGTAAAAGGGGGCTGGCTTAACATCACCAAGCGCCAGGGCAAAATAACCTGTTCTGGGTGTGCCAGAACCACTCCGTGCAAGGTGCCCTTTGAGCTCCCAGTTTTAGGATCTAGAATTGAGGGGCCACTCCCAGAAACTCCAGAGAGAAATGACGGGATCAAATCGGGCCCCTTCGCACAGCCATCTGACGCCCCCTGTGTCCGTGAGCAGCAGAGCTCGGCAAAGACAGGGTCTGGGCAGGTAAGAGCATCCTGAAGCCTGTCGGCAGCACGTTTGCGCAGTTCCTCCCCGTGGTGGGCACTGAAAGAAGGATGTTTGTCCCCTTCCATAGTGACTGTGGGCTGTGCTGTCGGAGTTAGGGCGCTGGGCCGAGATGGACTTTGGGTCAGATCTAATACTGTACTTATATGCAAAGGAAGCGCAGAGTTATAAATGACCTCTGGTCACTACAAAACTGCTGAGTTAGAACGGCAGAACCCCAGCTCACAATACCAATGCCTGTGGCTCTAGGACCCCAGGTTTTCTCACTCAATAGACATCTCTGCAATGAGGCTATTTTCCCATTATAATTCATCTAGGATGTAGCTGAGAATAGCACACATGGGTTTGGAAAACTGCTCATCAGAACTTGATAACACAGGGCTTTGCCCCTTTTAAGCACACAGTAACATTGAGACCAAGCGAGAAGAACAAATCTGAGGACATTGCATTTTGTAACATCCCAGGCAGGGGAGCCCGTGTCTGCCGACAGTCGGGGTCTGTTACAGGGAGGGAGGCGGGGTCACCTCAAGGGTCTGTCGGATGACTGTAACGGGCACTGTTATAAAGCCACCTCATTAGCTCTTTTGTTTTGGCCTCTGCCTCAAGTTGGAAATGTAATAACCTAACGGAGGGGCATTATTCTTTAAATTGTCAGCCGTGAATTTTCAACTGTTCATCAGAAGTGCTAGTTACCATGGTGACTTGCTTGGTTCCTGCTGAACTCCTGTGCAGATTTATTGAAAAATCTGTTTTTGGAGGTCAGCACTTGGTTTGTCCCGAAAGTCGGAAGAAGAGGGAGTGCTGTGAGGCGGGGGTGGAGGGAGCGGAAATCTATGTTCACCGCAGGCTCTTGGCTGAAGGCCACGCAAAGCCAGACCTCCTAAGGCTGAATGGAAGTGGTTGCTATGGGACCGAGAGGAGGACAGAGACACGAGGACCCGCATGGTGCTCGGAGACCTTGGAGTTCCAGCCCAGCCAAAAGTGTGCGGTCGACGCCCCAAAAGCCATGTATTAGACATACAGATAGCACCCTAGGACTGAGGACAAAATCAAAAGAGACTCGCCTTAGTAAATAAAATTAAGCCTGATAGCTTCAAAAGACACTTTTCAGAACAAAACTCAACATCTTTAAAGGGAGACAACATAATCCAGACCCCCCACAAGGCTGGCTCCACCTGTGATGACTCACCTATAATAAAAAGTTACGAGACTTGCAGAGAATCAGGGGCATTGTGATCCATAATTAAGAAATTTAAAAAGCAGTCCAATATAAATAGGTCCTGGGATGACCCAGAATTTAGAATTAAGAAATAAAGCCAGAGTCATCTATTAAATAAATGATCTGGAACGTAAAGAAATAGATGGTCATAATGAGTGAACAGATGGGGAATCTCTGAAGAGAAATGGAAACTATTAAAAAGAAAAACACTGGAAATCCAGAACAGAAAATTATATAATACATGAAATGGAAAATTCACTGGGATGCAGAGAGATGAGTAAGGGTAAAGTAGGCCCTAAAGCTGGAGGGGAGACCCTTCAAATAAGGAATAATCATGTATGGTGGCCCTAAAACAAATCTACGTGACAAGTGTGAGAAGCTGAAAGAGTATCAGTATCATAGAAACTGAGAGCTACAGGAAGAGCCTCACGACAGGGCTGGAGAAGCTGGAGCGCTGGGGAGGGGCTGGATCAGGCCAAGCCTTTTAGTCCTTAAGGGATTTGGACTTTATCTTGGGGGCCGTGGGGAACTATTCAAGGACTCTAAGGAGGAAGGGAATGACGTGCAGATACGTGTTTTTATACATTCTGTGTGGAGAGGGCCAAGTGTGGATACAGAGAGATACGTGTGGAGTCCATTGCAGTGGTTCAGGCACATGTAACTTAGACTCAGCTGGGAGTTATGGAGAGAAATAGGTAGGTTAGAAAAATACTCAGATAGTGAAATGTGTAGAACTTGGTGATCTATTGGATGAGCATATGTAGGAGATGATGTCATCAAGAAAGACCCTGACTTGGACACCAAGTGGATGATGAAGCAACTTACTGGGATAGAGCGTTCTGGAAAAGACATAGTCCTGACTTTTCAATTTGCAGTGGCCATAAGACATTTGAGTAGAGATGCGCAAATAATAGGTACTTGGATAAATGGGTCTGAAACTTCAAAGAAGATTAAATGAGATAGGACATATACTTTAAAACCTGGTATTTAAAAAACAGTGTTGAACTATATATACGTAGTTATATATAATGATAGGCTATATAGATGGATGAGATATTGAATAAGTTAGCAGTGCTTTCAGCTGCAAGTAACAAAAGACCCAAGTTAAACAAATGAGAAGTTCTTTTTCCCATATAAGAAGTTCCAGTTGCTGGACTGAACTGGAATAGGGCTCTGAGTTGGCATTTCAGTGGTTCTTTTGGCCGGTCCTTCCTTCCTCATGGTTACAAAATGGCTGCTGCAGCTCCAGACATCACATTTCCATTCAAGACAGAAAAAAGCAGAAGGGGCAGGGTGACTGTTTCCATTATCTGGAAAGCGAGAACTTTCTTGGCAACCCCCAGCAGAAGTCCCCTGATGCTCTTTTAGCTACAGCTGTGTCCTGTGCCTACTCCCAGCTTCAAGAGAGATTAGGAAAGCAGGCCTGGCCTTTTCAGCCTCTGTGGTCAAGGTGGCCTGGGGAAGAGGGTCGGCATGGGTGCTGGGATGGCCAGTGAGCGGCGCCCGCCGCAGTTATCTTTAGAGCTTTGCATTTGCACCTGAGAGCTGCGTCTGTGATGTATGGCTGGGGGTCTGCTTGGGAGCTTGGCCGTGGAGAGGCCCTCTTTCATTCACTCAACTTTCAAATCATAAAGACGATGCCTGATGTGAAAATTACATGGAGCCCTGAAATATAAAAATCCCTTTATGAAGGCTGTTCTGTGCTGTATTTGATTTTTCGCCCCTTACCCCCCTCGCAGCCTTCCTAGGCTTGTTTGCTCTGTGCAGCATTGAAGTGCTTTCAGCCGCACGCTCTGTGAACAAGGAGGCTCGCAAAGCAGTATGTGAGGAACATGAATTAGCCTTGGCAGAGGCGTGTGGGTGGAATCCTGTGGGCGGCACTGGGAGGGGAGGAGGGGGATTGGGGACGCACATGCAGGAAGCCAAAGGCTCAGAGTCTGACGGAGCCAGTGCCTCAGTTCCTGACGGCAGGGTGCCGATTGGAAGGCAAGACAGAGGGGCAGTTTCCCGTTTGAACTCTTCGAACAGATCCTGGTTTTTTGACTTCTGTGGCTGCCTCTGGTAGCTCCCCGTGTCCTCTCAGGGCCCCGGCTGCTGGGGCACTGTTCCTGGGCCCCTCTTGGTGTTAAGGTGAACGTAACCGTGCCCTGACGGTGCTGCGTCAAACCCACGTCGGTGGTTATAGTTGCCAAGTTCTCAGGAATTCCCTGGCGAAGTCCATGGTCGCTTTTCACTTCCTGTCTGCCTGCTCCAATCTGATCGGTGCTCAGGCCTTAACTTCACCATCTCATTTAACCCCCACATTAGCCCTCTGAGGGCTGGTCCTCCTGTTCTCCCCATTTTACTGATGAGGAAACTGAGGCTCTCACTGGAAAGAAGTAACAGCACTGGGCTTCGAATCCGGGCACTTGAGCTGTTGGCTGGCAGTCTGGACCGCTTCTCAGGTTGTCCGAATTCGCGCGCTCTTTCCCCAGGCGTTACCAAGTGCCGGGCTAGGTGCCAAGAATACAGAGGAGAAAGCTGAGGTCCCTGCTCTTATGGAGCTTGGCGGCCAGTGTGGGAGACAGTGGCACAGATGGGCATTCCTGGCCCGGTGGGATCACCGTTACGCTGCAGGAGAGTGCATGGGCGGTGACCAGGAGGAGCCCCAGGTCTGCCCAGGGCCCAGGAGGCAAAGCTGAGGACGAGATGGAAGAAGGGAAGCGCGGTACCTGTGAGGGAGCCTTCTGTCTCCTTCCAGACGTGTGGAAAACTTCATGCCTCACCAGTATTTCAGGTAGAAATTGGCTGGCAAGAAGCAGATGGGCAACCATGAGCTGTCATGAAGTCGGGGGGCTGGGAAGTAATATCCCTCTTTCTGTCCCCCTGTGCCTTCCCCCCTGATTTCACCTGTGACCTTGCGTGTAAAGTACAGGTGC